GACCAGAAGGGTTTAGGGGAGACACTGTTTCCCCTAGCGGCCCCTGGCATGACAAGGAATAACGGACACAAATTATTGGAGAGTAGGTTTAGATTAGACATCCGCAAGAACTACTTCACAGTTAGGGCGGCTAGGAGCTGGAACCAACTTCCAAGGGAAATGGTGCTGGCTCCTACCCTGGGGATCTAAGAAGAGGCTTGATGCCTACCTGGCTGGACTCATTTGAGTCCAGTTTTTCTCCCGCCCAGGCAGGGGGTCGGACATGAAGATCTACAAGGTCCCTTCTGACCCTACTTCTATGATTCTATGATAGTTATCCTTTGCTTGTGGTTATTGAGCCAGTTGCCTATCCACCTTACAGTAGTTTTGTCCAGGCCACATTTCTCCAATTTGTTTACAAGAAGGTCATACAGGACCTGGTCAAAAGCACTGCCGACGTTCACTATATCAACAGCATTCCCTTCATCCACCCACAGAGTTACATTGTCAAAGGAGGAGAGCAAGTAAATCCACGCTGACTGCTTGTGGTCAACCTTGTCTCCTCTAGATGCCTGCAAGTGGACTTCCTTAGGATATGTTGCAGTAACTTCCCAGGTATTGAGGTGAGACTAATGCCCTCTTTTCTGCCTTTTTTCTGGTCCTTTGCTACCTCGCCCACCACCCCTAACTTTATAAATATTATTGCTAAGGGGACCAAAATCTCCTCGCTCCATTTCTTTAATACCCTGGGATGACGTTTATTAGGCTCTACAGAGTTGAATTCATTCAGACCCAATACTCTTTATTAGGTGTCTGGCTGCAGCTTAAATTTTTTTTATGAAGTCTAAAGCAAAGAAGCATTGAGTAACTCGACCTTCTTTACATCTTCTGCTTAGAGTGCCCCCCTCCCCATTACTTAACAGTAGGCCTACAGCTTTCTTGACCTTTCTTTTATAGCCCAAATACTTATAGAACCTTTTTGCTGTTTTTCACCTCCCTCACCAGGTGCAGCTCTTTGCCTTCCTGATTCTGTCCCTGTAGGTTCTTACTACTTCCCAGTAACCTTTTTAGTTTTCCATAGCCTGTACGCATTCCTTTTGCACTGAAGGCGTCCTAGAATCTCCTTGTGCTGTCACATTGGTCTCTTGTCATTTTTCTTGTGCTTTCATCATGTCAGGGCAGTTTTTTGTTGGGCTTCCAAAGCTGTGCACTTTAGAAGCTCTCAGCCCTCCTGGGTGCCTTTCTTCTTCAGGCTATCTTTCCAAGGAACCGTGCCTGTTTGCTCCCCGAGTTGGGTGAAATGCACCTGTTTGAAATCTAGCATCCTAGTTTTGCTGACGTCATGCTTTCCTCATCTCAGGACCTAGAATTATATCAAATTGTGATCACTTCCTCCCAAGTTGCCCATCACCGTCACATCCTCCACCTGTTCTTCCCACTGGTCAAGACAAGATCCAAGACAGATGATCCCCTAGTTGTATCCTCTACTTTCTGGAACAGAAAGTTGTCTTCCACACAAGTTAGCAATTGGCTTGACATTTTGTGTTTTGCTGTATTGTTCTTCCAGCAGATGTCAAAAAAATGAAGTTTCCCATCTGTACCATCCCATAGCTTTTGGAGACACCTTCTCTTCCTGATTTTGTGGCCTACACCATTATATCAGTGCTGCATCTTTCACCTTTCCTCTTCACCCAAATGCATTACACTCCGCTATCTTCTTCCTACTGAGTCCAGGAACAGAAAGAGATCTTGGAGTCATTATTGACTCCAAGATGAACATGGGCCGACAATGCGAGGTCATGGTTGGCAGGGCTAACCGGACCTTGTCGTGCATCCACAGGTGCATCTCGAGTAGAGCCAAGGAGGTGATCCTCCCC